ATTGCGATATATATATATATATATATAATTCTAACATATATATATATATATATATATAGAGAGAGAGAGAGAGGGGGGGTAGTAGTTATCAATAGGGTGTATTCCAGCAGAAAATTCGCAAAGAGACGTCGTTTTTCTTTTTAGAGTTGTAGGGCAGCGGGCCCCTTTAATCGGTCGCGAGGTTGCCGCCGACGGAAATACAAGAGACAACATGGCTTGCTTACCTGCTGGGACTTTTTGTTGGGCGCGGTTTCCGGGCATTCCGGGTCCGTTGGGTCGAGGCACGGCTTGCTCTGGTAGGCGTTCGTTATCCCTGCCCTCTTCATGTAATCCTCGAGCGTTTTGAAAGGAAACGCGAACGGCAGTTTCTTCATCTCGTCCAGCATCCACGACGGATTGAGATTCGTCCACTGAACCGGCTTGTTCGTTTGCGCCCCGCTGCCATCGAACCATAAGCGAGACGAACAAATAAATTATTTGGATCGTAACGCGTTCAACGTTTATTTCTCTTAGGGACAAAACGTCGCAGGGATACGAACGATACGCGTTCTCAACGTTTCGACTCATCCACGAGATATGGGTAATTCACCGAGCCGAACGATAATTACCTCTCCTCTAATAAATAACGGGCTTTCCGATACAATCTGCGATCAATAGGCGAAATTCTTATCCGGACGAAGGTATCGAACCAACGAAGAAAAGACGAGCGTTGGGTAAAAATCAAGGAAAAATGCAACGAGACGTCGCGTTCGTGGAACCGAAATGAAGTTCGACACTTCGTTGTGAAAACGTGACGCGAATTCGTTTTCGAAGTTCGTTAAAATTCTGAAGTATTCAAAACCTTGAGATTCGAGAATTCAGAAACTCGAAAAAATGTCGAATTCCAGAATTCTAACATGCCGAAGTTCAAACATGCTGAAACTCTACGATTTCGGAATAATACAATTCGAAAGCTCTAAGGTTCCAGAGTTTCAAGGTCTTGAAATTACGGAGTCGTTACTCGAACCACGAAAAATATCTTTGGTTCGCATATATAGTTATCGTCGAACCGGGAAGAAGCGAGATTTAAAAGTAAAAAAATCAAACAACATCCACGATCTGCAACAGCTTTTAACGTATCGACGATCGTACCGAGCAACAAAATCAGCAGATATAACGTTCGATCGCACAAAGTCTCGGTTCTTATCGATGATTCTGCTAATGGATCCGCGGGAATTTAAACGCAATCAATTTTGCGACCGAAGCAGTCCCGTTCGAGTGACGACATTCGATGCATAATACCGTGGCGATAATTTGCGATCGAATCGGATACTTTTTCTTGTACTTACGGTATGTGGACGGGGTACTCCGGTCCCAAGAGTTTACTGCCTTCCCAGAAACAGTCGAGGGGCGTAATGATGGCGCACGGTATGATACTATCGAAGATCTAAAAACAATGGTTCGGTCAACATACCTGAAGAAATGCTTTTGGTAAAATTGGTAAAATTACGCGCGGTCGATTACAGCGGAACGATCTATTATAATATCTGCCGGTCGCGAATGCGTTAATAGTTTTAATATGCAATTTTCATTTTCCTCCGAGAGGGAACGAAGAAATGATTTACTATGATTCGACGCATTTAATCATCGCGATCGGCGATGATTCCGGTCCTCCTAAGGCGGTAACGAGTAGTGCGTTCTCGGTTTCGGTTTATGATCGCTTCTCTTACACGATAATGCTTGTCGCGTTTAAAAAACACATTAAAAAAAAAAGGAGGGGATGTAGCATTCATAAACATTGGTTGATTTGATAAAGGTTTCATTCGATATAATTTAAGAAATAGATAAAAAAAAAAATGGTAACGGTAGTTTATACTCTGTATACTTACTCTGTTTTATTTACATGCATTAGTTAATGCTTACGTAACAATTACAGACTTTAGTATTAAAATGTAGATTCTCAATTCGAGTCAGTTTTAATTGAACAGATATATTAAAATTGACCTATCTGTTATATTATCATCACGCACGTACAAGATACGTGTATAAATATACTCTTTACTTAAATATCTAAAAATTAACTCGACTCAAGAGACTTTATATATTGACATTAAGATTTATCATTTTTATGTAAGTATTAATTAATGCTACATTTTTATATCAGAAGGACCGAAAATTAATCAAGATTTTATCAGCATTTATTTACGAAAGAAATCTTAAATACCAATCGACGAAATATTCCAACATTTCTTCCTAGTGTTGAACAAGTTCAATTTCCATTTGAAAAAAGTCCTTCGATTTTTCACTGAAAAACTTTTCCAAGTCGAAGACATTTTCGTCACTTTTCGGTCCTCCTAAGGCTTCCCTCTTGTCTACGTGCGAACTGCCATTTCTCTTAATCACGTATACACGTTCTAAAATTAATTATTATCGTACGTACGCACAAATCACACCGTGGTGAATCGAAACGCTCGCGTTAAATAAACGAGACGTTCGTGAATGCTACGTTCCTCATTGGACCATCTCTCCTTTTCTTCGATAGCGGACACTAACGATCGCCGTGAGGTTATTCTTGGTAGAGCGGGGCGCGTCATTCGTGGCTACCTGTGCGTTCTCGGAAACTGGAATAGGCCCGTTCCGTCGCGGTGGCATCTCGCTTTCTTTTGCGGTCCGTTTGATTTACGAATAATACAAATTTCGAACGGATGCCGGGGAACGCCGTGGCCATTTGTCGAATTGTCGTTTCGGGTCGTTGTAAAAAAACCGCGTGGCAAAATGAAATCGGGGACGGATTTGGTGTTCACGTTGACGTCTTTCTTCGGGATTTATTGGGAAAATCGAGAGGCTCCGTTCTGCATTCGACATCGTGAAAAGTGAATATTAATTTCTTTTTTGGTGATACTCTGGACGACGCTAAAATTTCTGGAGCTATCGCAATTGTCGGTAAGCGGGTGCTCGAGTTGGACTCGATGTCGAAGCAATCGTACGTTGCGTACTCGGTGACAGATACAAATTAATTGTCGCTATTAAAATCGAAATTAAGATCGAGATTAAAATTGAATGTCGAACGGAAAATTAGATGGAATCATTCAGCGAATGAAAAACAGTCATAAAGACGGTAATGGCGAGGAGGAAGAGGGGTAGAATTACGGGCAAGGTCTAAGCTAAATGGGCGGCGGTGCAATTAGCTTGGTATAATGACGGGGTATCGGCACAGCGTGTCTTCCTTATTATACGCAAATGCGAGCCAAGACCAGTAAATACCTATTTCACGAGCTCGTTGTCTTTGCATCTCCTTTTGCTTCGCTCGAGTATTCACGATCCTCTGATGTTTCTTGCTCTATGAATTCGTTAAGAGATCGGCTTCTCTATACTCTTTGCTTGGCTCTCGAATTAACTCACTGATACCTTAACGATCTAGAATATATCAAGAAAAAACCAACGATTTCGAATCGAGCAACCTTCTCCTTTTTCAAAGTCGGTGAAAAATTGAGCGTTGTCTAGAGAGTACGTAAAAAGTGCCGTTATTGCAACTTATAGTACAAATTTTATAGCTGCGCTACCGGTAGGAAATTAATTAAAAATACGTTCCAAATAAAAGAAAGTAACTTGAATAATTGTGAAGATTCATTTTTAATTTTGCGACACCCCGTCGAACCTAAATTAATCACCTCCTGTGGGTTTATAACGGTTACTTTGATATAACACAGGAGGCTCGGTAACGCTCGAAGGTTTTATGGAACAATAAATCAATCAAAATTTACGACAGACTGAATTTCTCGCAACTTAAACGCTCATAAAGCATCGCGCGTGGAACGATATTATATTTAAGGACCCAAGGAAAGGTATCCTCGGTGAAGTAACGTGCCTGCAACACTGCAACCACGCTAGCACGAACGCAATTCTGCAGTTGCATACGCGCAGGCTGCAATCGATGCATTCTTTCGTTCCCCATTATCCATGGAATCGTAAATTATCAAAGGAATTAATATCGTCATCTAGAATTTCAAATCTCTGTGAATACGCGTCGGTCTTCTTGAATTTTCTGCGAATAGTAGTCGCGTATATTTCGTGAAATATGGTCAAAAGCTTCGCGATAAAGTAGAATTTATCGCCATCGGTGGTTAATAACGAGAAGTGATGAAAATAAATAAAAATGAAAATAAATAAGAAAAATAATATGAAAGTAATCCTGAATCATTTGCAAAATGTCAAGTAAGCGATTTTCCTGTAATTTTGTATCGATTTGGAAATGAAAGATAACCGTTTCTTTTTTTTTTTTTTTTTTCTAGAGTGTTTATTCGAACGAAATTTCCACCAGCTCTGACTAAGTCCATCCCTTTCTTCATAACTACGTGAAACGATTAAAAGAAATTAAAGAAACACATGTGGCGATGCTCGGACACGTTAACTCGGTGAATCGACACGATCTCGGGAGATCAAAGCAGCGACCATGGAGAGATGATCAGTCGTTCACCGAGAGCGGGGAAAAAATTTGGAGCATAAAATTGAGTGCTCTCGAGGAACGAGAGCTCGTAACATCGCGGAAGTGGTATTCGACGCGCGGTGTCTCTGAAATGGCGTTTCCTTTTTCTTCGGATGTGCTTAGGGATGTTTTATCGCGGCCGCTCGTTAGCAACGCAAGAAACGATCGCGGCGAACGCGAGCAGACACGCACGTCTCGTTCTAATGCAAAATCGCGTTCAGTTTTTCGAGCATTGTACCGAATCGTCAATGTTTACGATGATCGACGACCCACTGGGAAATCGACGCGGCGTTCCAGAAACGGGCAAAGCTTTATTCGAACGATGAATAACGAATACAATCAACGTGTAACGATTTATTCGTAACGTTCGTTCGACTGGATAGTCGTGCTTTTATTTCTCCACTTAGGAACGTAGAATTTAGGATTGCAGTCCAAAATTTTATTCTCACTTTTATTCAACGAGGAACGGGTGGACTGTGTGTGTGTGTTTTTTTTTATTTGTTACTCGATATTCGAACCGGACGCGAGAATTTTGCCCGTCTCTACCGGGACTCGAGGAGAATAGAGAAGTACCGTAGAAACCAAGAACGTCTAGGAATGGAAACGATTCGCTTATTCTTTACGGGAATAATTTTTTGGTATCTCTTGTGAAGAAATTACGCGCTTTTATATGTATATTTAAATTTGAATATTCAAGCCTGGTCGAATGTGTACTCTTTGCGTGGATGATTAGTTAAACGAATAAGTGAATTATTGATGTTCGAAAATGCGACAGAAAGTCTAAAATTATATAAATAACTTTCTATCTTCTTTTTATGTATCAATGTTTAGTAAACGTCTTTTCTTATTTAATGTCTTTCTTCTTTTTCTCAACTTAGAAAGCTTGCAACAATCCTTCAACTTGTGGAACGTATGCAAGCACATTTACAAGTCTCACAGTTGAAAACAATCAAAATGTTCACCGAACAATAAGTTTCGTTACCATTCCTGAAAATGTTACGAAACAGGAACACAACAAAAACGACGCTATATTCTAATCAACCCTAACCTTATCTTTCGAAAATCGCACGATACTAAAATTTCAATTTACGTTCGATAAAAATAACCAAAAAAAAAAAAAAAAAAAAAAAAAAAAATTTACATTCAATAAGCTAAAGGAACTAAACGAAACACGAATCGGTTCGCAAAGGGTCGAGTATCTCGGAATCGCGAACGCGAGAAGGACTGAAAATCGCGCGTCGTAGCCATCGCTGTCCCCGCGATACCTTAACAGAAATCGAGAAGTCGCAGTGCGAGCGCGCAATAACGCGGTATCGTACTTCACGCATCGAATACGTGAATAGTTTCCAACGCGCTCGCCGATACACGCACGCGGTTACGTATCACCTACATATAAAGTAGTGGTAGTTTTAAATTACCTGGTCGATGTAGTGCATGTCGAAGTTGGGTATGTTCAGCGCGTAACACATGTCTTTCAGCCTCCACGTGCTGCAAGCGACACGGAACACATGCATTCATGAATACAAGTTTGCATCCTTTAACCCCCGTCCCGCCGATAAGCGGCTCGGAGAGGAGCTCTCCAGAAAAACTTGAAACGATGGCAGTCGCTTCTCTAAGCCGCTCCACGGGCACCTACGGGGTGTCCGCGAAGTGTGCAAGAAAATAGAACCGAGAATTGATTCGGTCGACGAAATCGATTCTCGTCCGTCGACCGATACAGCGGAATTAAAATTAATATAAAGTGGATGCTAGACATTATTTTTTCGTATTCAAAGTTTCAGAATTTTCAGAAATCTTTTTGCCGAGTATATTTCTCTCTCTCTTTTTTTTTTTTTTTAAATAAGGTGTTATGGAAACGTATTTTTCTACATCTTGGAACGAGAGATTTTGTCTGCGAGGCACTTTATTTGTGAGCATTTTATTTTTGCGTGTATAGTGTTTTTCCTCGTTTGTTATTATCCAGTTAACAGTTTTGATTTTTTTTTAAATTAGAAGTCGCTAGAAGTGTTTAGAACAACATAATAGTGGCTATATCTAACAACGTAGCTGGTTCATATTAGTAACACGGTTTACATTTTTGTTTTCAAAGGAAAGTATACATTATTTGAATAATATCTGAGCATCTAACAAAAAACGAATAACGAAATAAGTGCGTCGCGTTTGATATAAAAATGATGTACGATCGTTACGAGTGACACACTTGTTCCATAATTAATATTTTCAATTCTAATGAAAGATAAAACTATAAAGATTGTACCTAAATAAAGTGCCAAACACCTCTGCCTGTTTCGAGTAGCATATTTCCAAAGTTTCACGTTTCTATATTTTCGCAAAATACTGCAAAAAGAAATAAATGTCGCCATGGGAAAATTCCATTGACACAATCGGAGCTGTAAATTCTTAATGATCATTACGTAATGATTACTTTGACCGAGTAATTAAATAATTGCCACTATAATTACCGCGTCGTATGTAACGGTATTTACTCGACTACTACCGGTAACCCAATTACTTTTTAATAAGTACTTACAACTGCCCAGAAAGTAATTAAAAGGCGTCTCCGATCTAAAGTAGTTAAAAATACCTGAAAGTAATTGGAAGGTAATTATAACTACTCTTTTAATTACTTTCAAGTACTTGATTACTTCTTAATGACTTCTAGGTATCTTTGAATTGTTTTTTTTTTTTTAATTATTCGAAGTATCTTTGAATTATTAAAAAATCATCGAATCGCTCGGTAATTAAGAACAAGGTAACGCGTAATTGCTAAAGACGAAGTGATCGAGAATTCTTTAAATGATTATTCCAAATTGTAACGGATACGAAAGTAATCATTACTTCGGAGCTCTGGACACGGTGGTTTACAAACGACTAAAGCTACCTTTTGAAACGAAAATGGCGGAGGGTCCGTGGTAGACGACGATGGTTTTTTTCTTGCCCACTTCGCCGACGTTTCGATTCGCGTACGAAAGAATGGTTAAGGAAAAAAAGTCTTACATTTCGAACAGGTGTACGGTAACCTGCGTCGCCGCCTTCAGGATCGCTAAATGTTCCTTGAGTGCGGCAGGGTGCAAAATATTCGCCCCGGAATGCCTCGGCGTTTGGATGACGAGCTGATGCGTCGAGGCGGCTGCTTCACCCAGTTCCGTCGAGGCGTAGGTCAGCTCTTTTTGTAACCTTCCGCCTTCTGCGACCAAAAACATAATCACGACACGTGAGTTACGGATGTGGAAAAAAGAATCATCAACTCAATTTGGTCCGCCAATTTAGCCCACCTTCGTTCACGACGCTTCTTTCCGCGTTGCTCGTTTGTATCGTGTATATCGAACCTTTTTCGGGCGGATTTTGTAAAGGTACGATTCAAGGTACGATTCAACTGTCGACGAATACGAAGCACGACTTGGCTGACCAGATTGACTCGATTTCGCGAGCTTACGAGCTCGACGTAATCGTTAAATAATATTATAAACATCGGGGAAAACGTACACGGTATGGGTTATTTGAATGGTTTTGCCACTTTTTTTCGAATAAATACCGAGTTCTAGTTACTGGAATCTAATTAGGGTAAATTTACACGAAGCGGAACGATACTTAAAAATCTCATTTAGTAACGCGACGAGATCTACGTTCTTTTTGAACAACTTTTGTCTCCGTGGCATTAGAAGATCGAAAACGATTATAAAAAGGCGCAAGGTTAAGTTGCAATGCTGCAGAAACAAGCCAGTCGAAGTAATATGTAACTTAAAAAATTGATCGAAAACATAACGCAGAATTTGGTTTTTTTCGTTTTTTTTTAAGAGGGGCAAAGTATTTCGAGCGATGGCCACTCTGTGTATCTCGTCTACGTGCGCGGCTTTCGTTATTAGCGAGTAATGTTCGATTAACGCTCGGCGTAAGCTTTCGGAACACAGCTGTCTTGCTACAAACCGGAACGCGCTACCTGAGCCTTCCGGCGAGCCGGCCCAAGTTGGAGCAGTCACGAACTCCGTCGCGATTGACTGGTTGCTTTATTCGCGACTCGTGCCACTTTAAGCTTTCGGCGGCCTGGTAATGTTTATGCTCGGTACGATTCCCCGAAGAGAAACATCGGCCGTGGCCAGTGTCGTAACACACGTTTCTACGGCTTTACGGATATACCGAGAAAAATTTCTGGCAGGGTACCAATGAAAGCGTTCCCAGAAGAAGACGTGGAAATAGCTCTGTTATGGTTCGAAACGTTCGTCCCCCTCTTGGCGAAACGGGCTAACCCCATCGATCTTATTTAAAACAAGTCGTCAATGACCACCCTAAACGGTGCGCCGTGTTGAATGCAGGAAATCCAATGGAACTAGAAATACAGATAATTTACGCATTTGTCGTACGATTTAAAATAATTTGTTTAAGTGAATCAAAGGGAGAAGAAAATCTCTCGACTAATTGTTCGCTTGTTAACCGAAGTTAAATTCTTGGTTAGTTTCAACGAGAATGTATCGACGTTTTAAAATTTTAAATTTTCAGTAAATTATGCTAAATTGTAGTAGTTGGACTTTATCGTATCTTCGTGAAAGTACGGTGAATAGACTGGCGATGTTCCTCCGAGTAAAACGAGTCCAAACACGACCTAGATAGGACTACTTTTGATTATGGACGATTCATAGTTATTCAAGATATCCAAAAATGGTTCAAGTAGCGTAAAATTACAGATCGTCCGAACGAGGTCGTGTTTGGGCTCGTTTTCATCG